CAAGTGCAATGTCAAAAACATTGAATGTGGGAGGGAAAGTAAAAAGGTAGTGTTTTTAATATTTGAACTTAAGCAACCATGAATTTAAAATAGTCTGCTATATACATAGGATGTTATATATGAATTGCATGGTAATCACAAATCAACCTTATAATAGTTAAACCAAAAAATAGAGAAAGGAGACCAAACATAACACTAAAGAAAGTTATCAAATCACAAGGAAACAGAGCAGGAGAAAAAAAGGAATAGAGAAGAACTTCAGAAACAACCAAAAATAATAATAAAATGACAGTAAGTACACACCTATCAATAATTACTGTAAAAGTAAGTGGTATAACTGCTCCGATCAAAACATATAGGGTGTCTGAATGTATTGAAGAAAGGCCATACGTTTCTATCCTACAAGAGATTTACTTCAGATCTAAAGATACATACAGACTGAAAATGAAGGGATGGAAAAAGATATTCCATGCAAATGGAAATGAAAAGAAATGTGGGGAAACTTTACTTATATCAGACAAAATAGACTTTAAAAGAACATTGTAACGGGGAAAACAGGGGCATTACATAACAATAAAGGGATAAACCCAACAAGAGGATATTACTATTGTAAAAATCAATGCATCCAACATAACACTCAAATACATAATGCAAATATTAACAGACATAAAGGGACAGACTAATAATAATACAATAACATTAACACTCCAATTGCATTAGTGGATAGATCTTACAGATTGAAAATCAAGGAATCACTTGAATTAAATGACACATTAGACCAGATGAACTTAATATACATAGCATTCCATCCCCAAACAGCAGAATACAAATTCTTTTCAAGTAAACATGGAACATTTTCCAGGATTGATCACATGTTACACCACAAAACAATTCTAAACTTATGAAGATTGAAATCATATCATGCGTCTTTTACCATCATAATGGTATAAGACTAAAAATCAATTAAAAGAAGAAAACTGGGAAAAAAACCTATGTGAGTGATAAGCAACATGTTCATAAACAACCATGTGTCAATGAAGAAATCAAAGAGGAAATAAAAAACTACATCGAGACAAATGAAAACAGAAAAACATGTTCCAAAAACCATAGGACACAGCAAAGGCACTTCTAAGAGGGAAGTTTACACTAATACAAGCCTACCTCAAGAAACAAGAAAAATCTCATTAAAAAAACAGAACCTTACACCAACATACTATAAAAGAGGAACAAAGTCCAAAGAAAGTAGAAGGAAGTAAATAACAAAGATTAGGGTGAAACAGAGACTAAAACATAATAGTAAATATCAATGAAACTAAGATCTGATTTATTGAAAAGATAAACAACAGTGATAAACCTTTAGACACATACAACCTACCAAGACTCAACCAGGAAGAACAGAAAATATGAACAGACTGATTACTAGTAATGAAATTGAATCACTAATCAAAAACTTTTGGGAAACAGCCCTGGCCAGTGTGGCTCAGTTGGTTGGAGAGGTGTAAAATAAAATGTGCACATACCCAGGTTGTGAGTACAATCCTCAGTCTGGGTGCATACAGGAAGGCAACTTATCGATGTTTCTCCCTTCTTTCTCTCTCTCTCTCTCTCTCTCTCTCTCTCTCTCTCTCTCTCTCTCTCAAATCAATAAGCATGTCCTTGGGTGATGATTTAAAAAAAGGTTAAAAAAATTTAGGACACAAAAGTCCAGGACCAGACATCAGACATCTTCACAGGTAAATTCTAACAAACATTTAAAGAAGAATGGATACCTATCTTTCTAAAGCTCTTCCAAGAAATCAAAGAGGATGGAATAGTTTCAAAAATATTCTATGATGTCAGTATTATCCTGATACCAAAACTAGACAAAGACACTACAAAAAGGAAAAATTACAGACCAGTATCCTGATGATCATGGATATAACAATGCACAGCAAAATATTAGCAAACCAAATTCAACAATACATTAAAAGGATCATTAACCATGATAAAGCAGGATTTAATCCATGGGTGCAAGGATAGTTCAATATTCACAAATCAGTCATCATAATTAACCACATTAACAAAACAGAGGATTAAAATCATATAATCATCTCAATAGATGCAGAAAAAGCACTTGACATCATGTAACTTTTATATATAATAAAGACACTTAACAAAGTGGGTATAGAGGGAACATACCACATCATAACAAAGGTCATATATGACAAACCCACAGTTAACATTACAATGAATGGTAAATAATTGAAACATTTTCCTCTAAGATCAAGAACAAGACCAAGATGCCCACTCTCATGACTTTTACTCAAGATCATATTGGAAGCCCTAGCCACAGCAATCAGACAAAAAAAAAAAAAAGAAATAAAAGGCACCCAAGTGGAAAGGGAGAAGTAAAATGATACTATATATTAAAAAGAGTAAAGACTCCATGGAAAACTATTACAACTAGTAAATACATTTAGTAAAGTTGCAGGCTAGAAAGTGAATATACAGAAATCACTTGTGTTTCTGTAACTCTTTCAGAGGGAAGGTGAG